TTGGTTTGGATCGCGCTTAAGAGCTGCACTCTAAAACATGATGGTGCCCTTTTGACACTGTACGATTGGTCGCATCAGCTCGCAGCGTCAGGTGCGTGTGGACTTAAGGTGCCGCCCGATAAGGAGAGGATAACGGCACGTGCACCTCACTCTCCCGTGAGGAGGATAGCATATGTACCTCACTTTCGTGCGCATGCGCAAGTGTTTCTTGTGACTACCGGAATTTTTCGCGAAGGGAGGAGGGGGGCGGTGAGCATTATAGTGGTATTGGTCCGGACTGTCCAAGCTGTTTCTTGCCGCCAAAGCGAGGATCGCTGGGCGACCCTTTCGGTGGCGAACAGAGAGGTGGACATAGCGCAGCAAGATGCGGTGCACGAGACCTATACCTAAACGTGCCTGTTCGAGCTCCCGTCTGACAGGTGTCTGGCTCTCTTCTCCATCGGGTGGCTCGTACACCAGCTAAAGAGTAGCGGATCCCCCGATGTCGGGCGCCAAACCCCGGTCCCAGGGCGCTCGTTAGGAACCCCCCTCCGCATCAGTCTTTTGAGCCGCGACCCCCAACTTGGAACAGACGCTTTTTGCCAGTTATCCGTATACTGTCCACTTTCTACGTCAGACGTTCGCTCTTGGACAGCCGAGTCGTCTGCAATATGCAGCGTCCTCGATTGGGCGCTTTTTAATGGGTCGCTTTTAACACTGTTTCTGCTCCGCGTTTTAGCTCCTTCTCCTCCCGATTATTTTTCTTCTCGGAGCAGTGACTGTTTTTGAGCGCGTTCGCTGTTGTTGCTAATGGCCCCTCCCCGCGGTCCCGGCGGCCAGACTCGGGAGACACCGGTTTCCAATTAGCGGGCCCCGCTCCGGCTCGCCAAGACCAGTAGCGTCTTCTCTTCGGTGTGCCCGTCCAATGTATCCACACCGGCAGTTGTTGAGTGCCTCGTAGCCGGGATTCGGCGCATCGCATTGCGAAACGAGCTTTTGCTTCTGCTCGGTCAAACTGCGAAGGAAACAATGTCCACAAGAACAGCCGACCCTCTGCTGTACTCCGCCTATATCTTAAAGGAACCATGCAACGTTTCTGGACTGGAGCTTTTACGAATTACCTATTATGCATCCTGACTCGAGCACCACAAACGGTAACGAGCCAAAAACCCATTCGTCGTAAAATTTTAATCGGCGGTTTAGTAAAGCAGAACGATTTCATGGGCTAGATCCAAGTAGAGCGCCACGATAAGTTGTTACGGAAACATAAGAGTTCCCGCGGGGTCACGTGATCAGAGTCACGCTGATGACGTCACGTGGTTTGTGCTACCATGGGTCACACGACATAGATAAAAAAACAAAAACAACTCAGTCTGCATATTACGGCTCTATACGGAGTATCCAGCTGAATAATGTTTCTTTTATTTGTTTCCTTCAGAAAGCCTTCCGAGACCCGATTCACAAAACGATCTTACGAAAAAAAAAAAAAATTGCATACGACAAAACGTACGCACAAATCCCTATTCACGAAGACAAATTATCGCAAGTTTTGCGTGAGTTACGCCAGAATCCAGCTCCAGAGGTGTCTTGCGCAATTCTTAAAGGTTAATTCAGCATGGCCGACAGCGTCGCTCAAGTCGCGAAGTCCAATGGGCATTTATTTTTCTGCAAGCCCTTCACGCGTGCCCTGACATAAAACAAGGAAAAAAAAAAGTGTCCGAAACCGATTACGACGGAGATGAACGCTGGAACCACAGATATCCGCAAAAAGCAACGGCAACAATCCCACCGGCCAAGCGACCGCCAAGGGCTAGCTCGGCAGCACTAGGCATAACAAGACACTCCGACGCAGCGTTACCGCGCTGCTCTGACGGTCGCTAGTCAAGACCGTCGTCTACCCACGACCGGCTGCCTTGCCGAATGGAACATGCCCGCGCGCCCCTTGTGGACCCTTTCGGTAAAAAAATAGTTGAATCGCTGACCTCAATTTTCGGTCAAGAGGTCAGCCTCTTCCCCTTGTCATCGCCTTCAGAGGCAACGGTGGCGAACGCTCTCGTCGAAAAGGGACAGCTCTTATCGAAACTTTGGAAAGGCCATGTCGCCGAGCGCTTGAACACGAGCGCTGCGTCACAGACAGGAACGGCGCTCGGAGATTCAAGCTCGAGATCGGGTACAATGATCACGGCCACGGGCCGTCTCAGAGTTGCAACAATTCCTAGTAATGTGGCGCCACTTGTCAAACCATACTTTATTGCCCGGTTCAAAAATTACACACTCTTTGTTGTATTTTCAGATAAACCATATGAAAATACTGCAAAGTGAGCGCGCAAAAAAAAAAAAAAAATAAATAAAAGCAACAGGCTGGCAAATTTATAAATGATATAATATTTACTGCCAAGAGACTGTATGCAGTTTATATATGTACTTGCTACTTTTATGGTGTATTTTGCGCATCTAGAGGTGATACTGAGGAACGTTTAGTCAAAACTGAGGAAAGAAATAACTGCAATTCATCAGACTGTAAATCATGAAAATTACTTGCAATACATATATATATATATATATATATATATTTTTTAACCACATGAAGCCTTGGTGGTGGTTATTGTGCCCGGAAAGTCTGTTTTCTTAGCTCACGTTTGTGAATGGCGCTCTGATTAGGTTGCTTCAGTATTTTAAGTAAATCGTTCAGATACCTCCGATAACGATACGATGCATGCACAAAGGCGGCGGCGGAGTATCGGTTACCGTTACCGGAGTCATCGAAAAGATCTACTAAAGCTCTCTAGTGTTTGGTTTGTACTATGCCTTCCAACTCGAGATTACGGTATTTATAAAAAAAGTATAAAAATGAAATGCAGATGTGTAACACAAATGCAACGGGTATTCGTTTCTAAGGAATCTAGAGGTGGTATTCACGGCCTATAGGGGGCGCGCTGGCGCCTATCAAAATGGCTGCCATCTGGATGATCGTCGTAGAACAATACTACGAGGCGGGGTCTGCGACGAGTAATTCGTTTTGCTTTCTGCCAGCAGTGTTGGAGCCTTTACTTTTTCACGCCAGAAAGGCGTAGGCAAGCACCTTTATTGTGAAACAGATCATCCAGGAGCTAGGGAGCGCGATTCTCACACCGCGGTACCACCATCGCTGAAAGTTGCGAATATTTGAGTGTGGTGTTCACAGCGCATGACCAGAATGAAGCTTCACTTACCTTGCAAAAACAACCCCGATCTTGGGCGTAAAATGCAAGTTGCAGAAGCGCTATGGAAGACCTTTTAAAGGGGCACTGACACATTAAAATCATATTATTTTTTTTTTTATTATCCGAAACGATTGAAAACGATGCCGGGACATTACCCTTAAAATTTGGGAATTCAGTATTTGTGAAGTCAAAAAACAATTTCCAAAAGCCGAATTCGAAGTTTCCGCGCGATCCGCGCCGGCGCGTTGACGTCAAATATTGCGGGGTCCTGAGAGTCCACTTTCTTTCACGACTCCCTGCTGTTGCCATGGCGACCCAAAGCGAGGAGGAAAGGAGCGAGCGCAGCGGGCGCCGGCGGACCGGTTTTGAGCGGTGTCGCCTGTTTTCCGTGGGAGGATACAAATCCAGGAAACGGCACCACAACAAACTCCCGATTTTTGGTATTTCAAAAAGAAGGGCCGTAGTGCGTTCGCAATTGCGTTAAAAAACATATTGTAGGACTGCCGTTACCAAATGTTATAGAGATGTCGCCTACAAAGCTTCTAAATTTCATGATTCTTGACGTCAAGAATCAAAAGAAGCGAGGAGGTAAGAGGCGGCAGAATCAAACGCCAAAAATAAAAAGGCGCGCGCGCGCGCGGGAAACTTTTTTTTCGCGATGCGGTTTTTGTTGCGTGTCTATGACTGCAACTTGCATATTTTTAGACAATAAAAAAACAAAAAAAAACGACCTTTCGGGTGTCAGTGCCCCTTTAAGATTTGTTGAAATATAAGAATCGAGAGGTCCTGTCCGCTTGCGTCGCCGACGGCAAGGGAAATCTCGTGTACTGACCTTCGACGAGAAATGTTCGCGCGTCGTAAACAGCAAGTTGCCGGCGATCGTCGCCCACCTCACTGGGTCTTCCAAACCGTTTGTGACGTGAACCTCCCGGAAGAGTGCCATGTCGTCTTGTATTAAAAATCGCAGCCGCGAGGATGCCGCCACTCACGACGACCGCCAAAGCGGCCGCAGCCGCTCTCCTGGGAGCCGCCATTTTTAAATGTGCTCGTCTTGGCTTTAGCCAAGTTCCTGTGCATCACAACTCCTCATCGGAAAAGAGCAGACCATTGATCTCTACTACAGGGGGCTGGATGGCGCATTGAGCAGACAGGTATGAAGCCACCGGAAGTAAGCGGCTTGTCCTGGAAGTGAGCGCTTGACAGGCTTTTCAACTTTTCCGAGTGTTAGTTCGAACAGCATTCAGGGCGCTGGGTTTTTTCTTGTCATCCCAAGAGAACCTGCTTGTTGCGGAGTAACAGAGCGAGCGTACCCGAGAAGTCTTCTGGGAAGCCGTTCGATGTCAAAAATTTTGAGATTCTAGTTTATCAAGTGCGAGTATGTCCCATGTTCAAATGCCTTATTCTCGGGATTAAATCCAGAACGGGAGTATTGAAACCCGAAGACACAAAAAAGCATGGACCAAAATATATCGACCGAATGCGCTAGGAAGCCCAGCGCACGCCCGACTTCGGGGACAAGCATCGAACTTCGGGTGGCTTCAGTTGCGCCAGCCCCTGAGAGCAGCTAAGCGTCATCTCTTTGCGTACGCGCGCAATTTTTGAAAACTAGCGCACGCAAAGCGCTGCTAAACGCGTTTGGCGCGTGCGCACCGGCGACGGCGCTATTCTTAGCGTACCCTATTCTAAAACTCCCCATTACCTCGACGGGCAGTGCCACCTTTCCTGGTCTGCAGTGCAGTTCGGCACTCGTCACGAAGTGGAGACCAACGGGCAGGGCGCGGGCTTACCACGACAAATGAAATAGCCCAAACGACCAGCAACGGTGAAAAGAACGAAAAGTGAGTGTATTTCTGTACAATCATGATGCAGCGTACTCAAAACTAAACGAAGGCGATTCGCTTCCTGGGGAACGAGGTCTGTACAAATCGTGGCTCCGACGCCACGGGAGCAGGCACAGTGGGTGCGCATCTGGGCGTCGACGCACGGCCGGTCCTTCCTCACTCTTGGAGCTTGGTACCTGCGAGGCGTGAGCGAGGATGAGCGGGCGAAGGACAACAAGCGCAGAGTGACAAGTTTCCAGCTCTACCCTGCTCATACAGCGCACAAAAGACATGGGTTCGCCGCAGCAGACGTGATGTCTTTTCAGCCGATAGCTCTAAGGACCTCGTGTGGCAGAAAAGCCGGGGAAAATCCTGATTGGTCGATAGGGTCATGAAGTGACGACCACACGACCCCGCGCGGGAATTGAAAACAACCCACAACAATCGCGTGAAACGTGACGCCACGCGTAACATGAAAGTGACTAAAAAATAAAGAAACGTGACATTTAACGCGAATTAAAGGTCGCCACACGCTCAAATAATTTCACTACATAAAATAATTTGCATTAAAGAAAAAAAAAGAAGAATCTCAGGATGATGATACTGATGATAATACCTTTACCCTTTTTTTAAGCAAAACAATGTTGCAAAGTTGTCGAGACCAAAAAGCTGCGGAAAGCAGCTGGACATGGTCAGCTATCGCGTTCCAGTCTTAAAGGCCACGCTTATAACCGTCCTCCTGCATTGTACGGTGTATTAGCAATAAGACCGCCGCGGCTCGATACTTCATAAAAAAAGACAGCATGCAGACTGTCACACTGGTCATACAAAAACTGTCTGCAGCCATAAGCCTGCACACGCAGGAAGCAAACGTGCTCTTCGGACGTGCACAGGCCTGTCCGCAGATCGATCTGTCATGCACGTCTCAACCGAACATCGTAGCCGTGTTCCAAAATTTACTCCATCTTACTCCAGGGTAAGGGTTTTGTACCTTTGCGTTCGAAAAAACCTACCCTCGTCCAGCGTCGCTCTATCCGTGTTCATCACGTGACACGACCCGCCGGAGTAACTCGGATCGATTTGGCTAAGTTTTCGAACACAGCCCGTGTCTTCTGCGTGACGTATACGAGCACGCGCGACTGCGGTTTGAGGTGACATGACGCCACCAGCGGCGAAGCCAGAAGTGTGGAAGGACATGGCCCCAACGATGACCAAAACCACTGCTGTTTTCGGAGAAAAGCGGTGTTGGTCACCCTCGGGTGCTATCCGAGGGTGACACCGCTTTTCTTTAAGGCAATCCTACCTCCATGGGCCATTACGACCAATCGCGGTGTCGCATGGTTACCACATTACCTCTCAGACTATCGCGACGTCGGCACCCCCGAAATGAGTCAAACCTTATACCGCGTGAACCCTAGGGGACATCATCGATATGTGGGAGGTGTACAACTCAAACCCGTCTTCAGAGCGGACATACGTGCCACGTTGCATCCAGTGCCCGCCGCAGTCTCCCAAACAAACATTTCGTACATTCGTGGCGGCGAAAAGGCGACTACTACGCGAATCAACGCGGACGTGCAGAAATAAAGTGTGGCGCCTAAAAGAAAAAGAAAAAAAGTCAATTCTGCGTGAATTTACAATGCACAGATAGCGTTAGCTGCTACACCTTCCGACCCTAATCATGTGGACGCCTCGTCTTTTAGGTGATATATATATGTGGACAGACCCTAGCGGCGCAAAAGGTTCAACGGCCCAGTCGGTGCGCAGTATTTTAGCCTCCAGTGTCGGCTCAGTAACGTACAGATTGTCACGAGCAGTTCCGCCGGCGAACCGCGAGCGCCGAGATCTCGCTCCGCGCACGGAAAGACCAAGGGGCCACGGCGAGTTTCCCGGCGGGAGGGCACGACCCGGCGCAGACACGCAGCCCGCGCCGAGGCCCCTCAACCCGGCGGCGCGGCAGATGTCCCCGTGGGCGGCCGTTGACACGGCGTGCACCCCCGGCGAGCCCTTTGGGTCCCTTCCTCCGAGAGGCTCGGGGGACGGGCCAAAAGAAAAACAGAAAGGGGGGATCCCGTTTCAGCCGTGGGAAACCGGGGCCACCACCCCGGGCAGGAGGAGACCCGAGACGACGACCTCGGGGTCCGGGCCTCGGGGTCAGGGCCCCTCCTCCGCCCACCCCGTTCCTCTCGGCTTTCCCACCGCGGTCGGGAACCCCCGCGGTGAAGACGAACGCGGGGCGACGGAGGAGAGCACCTGTCCACGAGACGGCGCCGAAAATTTACGACGCCACGTACCGTTGAACGCTACGATGCTCCGTGGGCGAGGAGGGAACGCGAGGAGTGTTTTCAGGCCTAAGCTGACAGCGGTGGGAGCTACGGGACTAACCGCCCTTCCTTCCCTTCCCCTAACCCCTCTCTCTTTCTCTCCCCTCCTCTGCTCGGGGATAATAGGCGGGAGCGTGATCACGTGGCGAAAGACCGGTGTATGACTGGTCCAACGAGCGCGCAGCTTCTACCACACTGTCAGCGTGAACGGAGGATCGCATCTTTGAGCCCGTTTACGTCTCTTCGCCAAGCTAACCACGCGCGGGGTGACGCCAAGAGAAGAACCAGGCATGGGGTGAGGTTTTACACACGACAATGGAAATAACGCACCACAATCGTGCAGGTGGTCTGTATTGCTTGTTGGTAGGAGAGAATAAAAACGATAGGTACCACTGCTCAGACAACACGAAGGCCGACAGAACGGTCGGAACTATGCACAGGAGCCTAAAGACCGGTTCACACACTTGCGACTGCTTACGACAGTTAAGTGAACGGTTTAAGGGAACGCATTTACCAACTAAGACGATTAGCAAAAAAAGAAAGATGTGGGAAGGGGTAATATGATATCAATAATATCTTTTAACATAATTCACACTTTATAAGCATATCACCAGCTTGGTGTAATCAAACGAGGCTAAACATCAGAAAGCCTTTTGTTTGGTCTTTATTGTTTTGGTCCTCAAAGATAAAAATAAAAGAATAATTGAAGTAAATATCTCAGGAAACTAAAGGCCCGTTCACACTCTTGCAACCGAGTGCGACCGAGAGAGACCAAACCGGTTTTTAAGCCTCTTGCGATCTCTTAGGACCAGCTCCGCTCAGTGCATCCGGTCCCAAGAAGTCTTTCTCGGTCGTACTCGGTTGCAAGAGTGTGAACGCGCCTTAAGGCGCTAGTGTATATAAGTCTTGTAAATATGTATATAGAAATACATGTCCTAATTCTTTAAATATTTCTACCTTTAATCCCAGATTCCTAGAAATCAATGCCAGAAACAACCTTCTTCATTTTCATTATCTATAGATAAACTGTTTACTTTCCCAAGAACCTTAAAAAAAAAAGAAAAAAAAAAAAGAAGTCATACCATCATCGTTAACAACATTCTATACTCCGTTTCACCTTATGTTGTACCGCAGAGAAGGCTGGAAGCGCGAGCTGGTAGCGTTGGCAGTTACCCGCCTTAATGCACGAGAGCCCGTGCCGCCGAAATCTGCCCCAGAGCAAGGAGTTCGCGCTTGCAACCTTTCCTGCGGTACATCATAAAGGCCCGTTCACACTCTTGCGACTGCTTGCGACCTCTTAAACCTGGGGCCCTAAACTCGTCAAATACAAAGTTGGAGGCAAAGTTGACGGAGCGCGCCGATTGGACAATCACAACAATGACTTCGTGCTTTTTTCGCCGATGTCCAATCGGCGCGCTCCGCGAACTTTCGGCTACAACTTTGTATCTGACGAGTTTAGGGCCCCTGGGTTCCTTAAAACTTCTTAAACCAGAGAACCCACTGGCGCCATCTATTGGGAAGCAGTGTAAACTCGGCGGTCCGGCATATTTTTTTTTATTTCTCGCGCAATATCCTTTCTTTTTTTGGCTCGAAAAACTTTTATCAATGTTATAAACGAACCTTTCTATGGGTATTACGCACATTTGACCTCAAAAATCCCGCAAAACCTTCGCTTTTGTGAAATGCAGTTCTAGGGTCACCGCATAGATGGCGTCACAATGTCAGTGTGTTCCCTCATTCTAGAAACATTTAAGAAGTTGTAAGAGATCTCGTCTCTCTCAGTCGTACTCGGTCGCAAGAGTGTGAACTAGGGTGCCTTCATGTGCGCTTTGCTTAGGGTGGTGGCGTCTCGCCATTTTGTCTCACACGTTTATTTTTATTTTTTGTTCAGAAGCGCGTGAAAGAGCGTGTCCCTGCACGCGTTTGTGGCGTTGACTGTATTATGGCGACATTTTGTTTTCGTTGATTTCTTTGTATTTTCCCCATGAGCGCGTGCTGTCGGCATCGGGTACTACAAAGGGTGGCATCACCCTAAACAGAAGGACATTGAGGCACTCTAGTGTGAACGGGCCTTAAGGTGAAATAGAGTATACCAGCAGTTCTTGATGCACCGTCAAGAGAGTTCTTCTAAGTCGAACTAAACGAACCTTTGCAACACAGTCAACAATGCACTTCTTAGGCTTAACCCCACACCGTAACTTTTGCTGCTCGTAACGAAGTCAAAACTTCATTAAAATAAACACCCCTAAAACTAAAAGTCTAGGTCTTAACATAGCCCAATATTGTACCAACAGCTTTTCATGGTCATTACCCTTCGATTGCTGCTGCTTCTCTCATTTACTCAGAATGTTCACCCCAACTTATACATACATACATGTACGCATAAGTGGGGAGAACAAAGGAAGTGGGGGTAAGTCCATACTGAGGGACAGATGCTGCGCCCCCGGATCAGTACAATCGATGTCCCAGTTGGCTCCTCTCGGCGTCGTCCCCAACACGACAAAACAGCAAACCCAAAAGCTTAAAAAAAAAAACAAAAAATTCCATTAAAAAATTACAAATATAAAATAAATGCTCGTTAGAGCCTGTTCCCTACCTGGGGTTTCACTGTTTCCACCGTTATTATCATCTTTTATTAAATTGGCTTCTTTCAAAAATAAAGTCACCACTTTTTGGCTGTACTTCGGCCATATTCATTTTTAATTGGTTTAAACTCGTTATACCGTCTGGTGGCGCAAGTAGAGACACAAATGTTTATTTCTTTTCTTTTTCGGTCTCACTCATAAATTGTAAATTGCTTACGACCGGAAAGGCGTAAAAGTGATTTTTAAGCTACTTGCGACTGCTCACGACCGGCTGCAGAAAGAACCAGG